TACTATCTTCTGGGCCTGCTCACACAGTAACCAATAAATTTTTGATATGACAGCATGCCTAACCTTGTTATAACAACACATATCTCAAAGGACTTATAGATGGGAACTAAAGTTCATAAGCAATGGAACAAAAGTAGTGCATTAGGATAAATCTCAAAAAACAAAAGGGGGGGCAATACAAATAGAGTATTTAAAAATAATATCGGCTATGTAAGAGTCATTTTAAACGATGAATGCATTTTCAATTTATGTACTAACTGTATTTTTGGTGTAATGTTATTTTTAAATGGTGGAATATTATGCATAAAAGTAATTAGAGTTGTAGATACAAATGAAGTCCATCTTCATAATATATCATACTTTCTGCTCTTCCTTTAATGAAGTATTACTTTTACTTATGTCAACCATTCAAGTTGCAACTCTACACAGTTTATTTATGTATGTGTATTGGATTACGATATTAATGTTTTAGTATGATTTTCTGATTTTCTTTTTGTACACATATATGTGTCTGTCTATACACACGCGCACACAAACCAAATTTTAATTTTTAAAAATTAGGTATCTTTAAATGTATGATTACATTAGATCTTATCTTAATTGCTACATTTTCCCACTGTTTAGAATATAAACACCCATTTTTTGCATTTTTCTATTATCTTCAAATAGACTCACTCACAGATTATTTTAGACATATTGCTCCACCTGATAATACTGGGGGAAAGCATCTATCACATCTATATTGGGATAAGAGAGATAGCTCTAAAAGTCAAAACAATGGGCAGAAGTCTGTAAGAAAGGAAGAGAAATTTCTGAAAGTTGCCAGATTTTAATTTTCACTTTAAATGTTTAAATTTATAATAACCTACTCAGAGCACCTGTGACAGGGTAGGATAACATTTGAATAAATAAATATTTCAGGAGGTCAGTTTGAAGAAGGAAATTTCATTTAAGAACCTCGCTTCTTAAATTCCTAAGGAATAATATTTTATTCTAGAAATGAACACATTGTACAGAAAAGCAGTTTTGAAACAAGGTACTTATTTTAAACTGAAAGGATTTAAAAGTAAATGATATCTATTCAATGATAGGAAATGTCAATCAATATCTATCATGAATATATCTTTCTCCATTTTTTTTTAAATCCTACATTTAAAAAAAAATCTATGTCAAGGCAAATGCTGAGTTAAAACTCTTTTTGTTAATATTATTTTTCCCCTATGGGAAGCTATTTTCTGTATGGGTAAATCCTATGGGAATCCAATCTTAAATGGTTCAGCCCACACATAGAATTACTACCTCTTTATGAGAATCAGGGCCATGATTCTAGCAAAGATTCTCAACATGTGACACAAATTAGCATCTTCAAATAAGACAATGAAAATATCAACCAAACATCCCTGCATGACACCAGAGAACTTTGGCAAGGATAATCTATTTCATCTTCCAGGATAAGTATAACTATTAACTATAAACGAATAAAGAACAAGTCCGTTTTAGGCTCAGAAAGATGTTTCACTCAAGTGATGCACAGTCCTAGCCCAAGGTTCTAATCGTACCTCCGTCTGAGCTCTCCTACTTCGGATGGTAGAAAGGATGGAGAGAGCTTGACATCTAGAAGGACAATGTGGAAGGACTTACAGTATCAGAGGGAACATTGTGAGGGCATCTGTGCAGTCCCACAATTGGAAAAGTTTGGCTTTGTAAAAACTGCCAGGGTTTTCATTCTAAGTTCCTGCACTGAGACATCCTCAACACATTCTTGAAAAGCGGCGTGAAAGTAAATACTTGTGCAGGGGGGAAAGAAAACCATAAGTGGAGAGAGAAACAAAATGAAAACTAACCTTTCTTGAAATAGCTGAAAATTTCAGCTTGCAGATGCTACTATGATCTCAATGGAGCCCTAGCTTACCATAATTTTGCTTTAAATATTTTTACAGATAATAAAATGTAATCATCATCATCCTGCTGGGAACCTTTCTGAATGCTGCGGAAGTTGTCTCTGTATATTCTAAAGTCACTGGCAAAGAGTAATCCAACCCATAACCCACAGTATTCAGAGTCAGGACAGCACCTAAACATTATTTACATCTTCCCCAATTCTCCCTGTTAAGGTCACAAGGCTTCTGAACCATTATGGCTGGATTGTTTTAGAGCTCTCTGCTGAACACCTGCAAACATCAAACAAAAACTGCTAGTCCTTTTACAGCATTGACAAAAGCCTTTCATGTGAAAAATGCGCCTTGGGAATGTCAGGCCTGCAGCTCAGGTTACAGTCGTTTCTCCCTCTTTGCCTTATAAGTTCTAAAGGTAGCAAGAAACCACATTGGGCAAATTAAAAGTTTAAAGGAAATACAGGCCTGTTTTCTTTTCATTCACACATTACATGTCACACCCGATCATTTTGCATTAAAGGAACAGATTTAAAAAAAAATACACACGTGCAATTTGTTTGCCATACTCTGTTTTCTAATAAAAATTTCAAACCAATTCTCCCTACGCCGATAGCCCTTTCATCAAATGAGTACCAATTTTAACAGAGATATAAACAAGTGTCGTAAGTGGTCTAGTCAAAAGTCCAGAGTGCTTCTGATCCTGTACAGAAAGCAACTAGATCTGAGTTTCAACTGAAAGAACCAAATGTATTCAGAACAGTCATCAATGGCCCAAACTAGGACATTATGCTACCGTAACACTGGGTTTTCTGCAGCAGTAAATGTGTATATTAAAATGTCATCAAAAGAATATTTCCTAGTACTTCATAACAGAACCATCTATTGCCATATTTCGACTCACCATAACAACGCAACTATAAAGTACATGACTACCGTACACAGTTCATTTGCCAGAAAACACATTAAGAAACAATAACATCAGGAAGCCAGGTATAGTCAGTATAACTTCAGGTCACAAGTTTTCCTTAGGATTTAGGGAGAGATTCGTAACATATTGGCTTCTACCAACTAGTCTTCCTACTAAATGATTCATTTCAAAAGCTAGTTCTTATTGATAAAAAAAAAAAAAAACTACCTATGTCAACAAAAGCATTTGTGTAATCATACAAATCTCTACAGTTTTGACACATTATTGTGGTTACTGTATACTTAATCAAGTGAGCTAGGACACAAAACTTTGTTTAGTTCATTCTACTGTATCTCATTCAAAAACTAGGAAATCAGTTCACTATAGTTAAGAGAACTAGCTTACAAGAACATATACACAGAACTCTGGTCTTAAAGTGTCTTAAGAAAAATATCATGGTTTTGAGATCTCTTCAGTTTAATCTTGCTATCTTCGGGCTTTTGTGTGTTTTTTCCTTCTTTTCAGTCATTTGCATATCAAAGCAAGATGGTTGCTTGAGCATATAATAAAATGCTCATTTTTTTCTTAGATTTCCAAATGGTTTCTTCGTCCTTTTAAAACTGTTGATAAAATAGTCTCTTAGGAGACTATTAAGCTAAGGAAAATCCATAAAATGAGCATCTTGCTAATACTTGTTAGAACAGTAGTTATCTGTAGTACTGATTAAATACAAAATGATTTATCTGGCACAAATACTTTATACTACTTATATAATGAAAAAATATCCAATGTATACATTCTTTGAAAGACTCTGCTAGAACAATTGTTTTGTTTTAAAATAGATAACTCCTTGGTAAGATATTACACTCTAAAGAAATGGATAAGGAAAATCTATCTAGGAATCAAGCTAAATGGATTCGATAAATGTTAGTATAGTATCAAGTTAGAGATTTTTTTTCATTTTTAAAATTAGGAATAAAACCAGACAGTATGTGTAGATACAACAAAATAAATTGTAATTGTAATTTAGTCATCAGGATATCATTCATTGAAAATGTTATAAAAACATTCAAAAGACTTTTTAAAAAAAACCCTATTTTAAATAATTAAATATATACTAAACTGGGCATCATTTTATTTCTTATCCATTTGAATTCTTAGTCCCGGCCTGCTAAAACCACTGGGAATTTTGCTATTGAATTTGATAGCAGACTAATGCCGTACACCATCAGTAACTGATAATGAACTTGTAAAGTCTTGTCAAAATTGAACATCTGGTTCAGAGATGCTCCTCACATAGAATTTTGGTCAGTAAACAGTTATGTGCAATTGCCAAAATGTTGAAGACACTGCAGCTGTTTAATTGTAGATATATCAGAGATATCCAAAGAACAACATTCAGTAATGCAGGAAACACTATGAAATGCAATTACTGAGGGAAGAACACTTCAGATGTGTCTTTCTCACTGCTAGCATGACAGAAAATGAATTATTCCCAATACATAAACATATTCTGTATTTGACATTCAATTATTTTATATTCAGAGGTTCCTGCATCAAAAACCAGACCCTTTCTTTGGGTCACAGAGAAAATAACCATTTGCAATGAATATAACACATTTTTTCAACACATACACAGATAATAAACATTTGCATTAATATCAACAGGCTCTTTTTCCAAAAGCTGTTATGATCATCAAGAAAGTCACTATAATAGGATTTCAGCTTATGGACAGAAGTCTTTCCCAGACAGTAGCTAATAGATGGGCAAATTATCCATTAGTAAATGCTAATTCTTAGAACAAAATTAGGATGAAAAGAAAAAAGAAAAAGAGGTTGGATACCGAAATAGAACTATAAAATGGTTATTCCTCTTTGCAAACATGAAAATAATTACTACCTTTAAGAAACTGGTTATTGCTCCTTGCAGAACAAAAGGAAAGATATGTTTTAAAAGGCTTAAATCTCAAAGTAAGTCCTGCAAAATATATGTATGGAATTCTTCCTCCTGAGAAAGATAATGTACTAAACATTTGGCAAGATGAACAATAGAATACTTCAACTGCATCTTAATATAAGTCCTTAATCCAAGCTAAAGTTATGTTCCCCAGACTCATGCACACAGTAGATGTAGGGTAAAATATATATATACACTTTCAGGACACTTCAACTGAATTCCAAACAGAAATTGTACATACTTGAGCCAGTAAAGTGTCCACTTGCCAAAGAAGTTGGTCCATTCTTCCCACTGCTCACAGGAGGTGAAAACATCTAAAAGAAAACAAAGAGGTATTATTGTTCGTAAATAGGATTATTTTTTTCCCTATGTTCAAATTTCATTCAACATTATTCAAAAGCTGTCATGATTTATTTAAATATGAAATCTCTCCCATCTCAGCCTTTGTAACAACACAGCAGTTCTTAAACTATATTCCTTTTTTCTTCTCATGTTAGTTTTACGCATTCCCCAAACAATATAAGATATGTGGTAGGAGGGACTCCACAACCCCAGACACATATCAGCAAACCAAAACCTTCCCAAAAACATTCAGATTGGCAAAGGTAAGGGAAAAAAGTTTGTTACTGAAACCTTAGTCATAAACGAAGTTAAATCCATTTCCATCCTGTTTTAGGATTTGCCTCTCATAAGTGCACTCAAATGATATTAATGGAAATTTCCACCTGCCCTAAATTTTCACCTCAGCTTTTAATGTAAGAGCAATTACGTTACACTCACACTCACTTTCACTCTCTCCCTCTTCCCCCCCTCACTCTCCTGCGTTTATTTCAACCGTAATTGGTTTCCATCTTCTTCTACGTGTCTAGTAGATAATACACACCTTCCCTGAGTCAGAGACTACAAAAAGCAAAGGAAGAAATGAAAAAAAGAACAGTTAGCAAAGTGGGGGCTACCAAGCTGCCTCAGGCTACAGTTCCTGGCCAAACTTCTCAAAGCCATGTCTTGAAAGGGAAGTCTGAAGGACAGCAGCAGACTGGAACAGCCCCCACTTGGATCTTATTTTCCCCCTGCCAACAGTGGAAGTCTTTAAAGACACAAATGCATCGTATATGAAATTGACTTATCTTGCTTCTCCCCCCCCCCAACATGAATAAATAATAAAGACTTCTGACATATTGGAAGAAAGGGGGAGTAGGGGAGATTAGGAGTGGGGGAGAGAAACGGCTGAGGGGGAGAGAAAGCCAAGGGTGGAGGGAATATTCCATTAACCAGTTACTCAGGGTCTGGTTAATATTAGGCCTTAGAATTAAGACAGTTATTAAAAGTCTATAGGTAAAATAAAAAATGAAAAGAAAAATCACACACACGCGCACACACACACACGTACAGAGCTAGCCATCAATGGGGGGGGGGGTATCCACAGGAAAGTTGCAACTCCTTCACTGATAGCACAGCAATCTGAGATTTCAGTGAAAACTTGAAGCTAGACTAGTTCTGGATTTCCTTTCACTTTTCACGTGCCAAAAAATGAAACAAGGGAAGAACTAAAAGTACACTTGTAAGAAACTGATTACCCATCAGTTAAATGGTACACCAGCCATTACTTTTAGAAGGCAATGCACAATGTTAAGTAATTATTATTCACAGAGAATAATGAGAAATATCCGGAATTTTTACAGAGGATGTGTGGGTTCATTTTTGGGGAGGATGTCAAATGATAAGAACACATCCAAGTAAATTGCAGACAATAGTCCATCTCCTTTCAGATAAGATTCTAATCAGTAAGTAAAAGAGCGTGCATATTGACCATGAATTAAAAAGGCTGATTAAAAATTACTCATTGTACTTAAACTCAGTTTGGCTTTGTTTTGGTTTAGTTTAACAGACTTTTTCTGGGCTTTTTTTTTTTTAACAGCTGCTGTTCATTTCCACCGTTGTTTCTTACCGCACTGAAATCCAGTAAATCACTGAGTTCTTTGTCCGTCCCTAAGGCAGCCATTCGCTGTTGGTGATGCATTTTAGCAAAATCACACAAACCTAGAAACATGGAAATAACCGCAATCAGAAACCCAGTCGCGAGCCTTACAGGAAACAACAATCGGATTTTTTCTTTTTTTTTCTTTTTTCTTTTTCTTCTTTTTAACGAGACTAGGGAAGTGGGGAAGAGGTGAGGAAGGGAGGGGGTGTGTGGAAGGGCAGCAGCGACAACGAGGAAGAAGAAGACGAGAAAGACAACACCGTAGTTCTAACGAACCGGTCTAAACTCGGTTAGCAGCTACTCTGACCCCAAACGCAGGAGAGAGACCCCGAGAGCAGCGGCCGCGCTGTTCCGCGCATCGTTTATGCAACAGGAGGTTCAAACAGGAATGGAGAGAAACGTGGAGTAGCAAGTACAGCCACCGTCCCCCAACTTTATTTTTATTTCTTCTGCATGCTCCCTTCCCTTTCCGCTCAAACGACCGAACGCTTTCCGAGGATTTTATTCAGAGGCGAGCACGGAGTCCTTGGAGTAAGCCAACGCACGCTCGGTCGGTGCAAGGGAGGGGGGAGACAACATAAATGGATGGGAAAGGTGTGGGGGGGGACAAGAATCCGCCTTTGATACCCAGCCTGGATATTTATTCTGATTAAAGCCTTGAGGGAGGAGAGAAAGAGTTTTCCATTGACAACCAGACCCCTAATTTATGGAAGGTAGCCGGGGACTTTAAAGTAGCGAACTACTGGCACGAAAAGGCATTTCAGGGCCTGCTGGCAACAAAGTCACCCATTTCTTTAAAGCAAACAATTGCAAGGAGAGGAGGGGTGAAAAAGGCCATTGCTACCCCGGGGGGGGGGAGGGGGGAGGGAGAGCAAATCCCGCGTGTTTAAATGGTGCACCGCTGGCACTCGTCCGCGCTGTTCTCTATTAGGACCAGCCACAACTAACTCCAGCCCAAAACACGTTTTGTAAAAAGGGCACCTCCGGTACCTACCGGCCGAGAGTGACGAGAAGGGGGTCCCTTTCCGACCACAGCCCCGAGCTCTGGATTTCATTGCTCGAAATTAGAGCATCCACCAACCAACCGCACATACACACGCAGGAGAGAGAGAGAGAAACAGAGAGAGAGAGAGAGAGACGGGAGAAGAAACCTCGCTGGCGCCACGCGAAAGCTCTTCCTGAACAGGAGCGGAAAATAAGGAGAGCGGGGCGAAGAAAACGCGGCGGCGGAGGAGGGAGGAAGCCCTGATTCCTAAACCAAACTCTTTTTTTCTGCCTTAGGGTAAAGGGAGAGGGGGAGGAAAGGGGGGGAAGGAGGGGGAAAAACACAAACAACTCCCCCCCAACACACGCACACAAACAAATCCAAATAGAAGCCGGATTGTAAGTTCAGAAAGGAAAAAGAGGAGCCCCGCTCCCTCGGCAGCAGTTTTGCCTTCCAAAGGACCCGCAACCCTAACACACCCGCGCACGCATTGCCCCCCCCTCAAGGAAATATATATGTACATCAACGCAATAAAGGCAAACGGGCACCTCGTTTTCTTCCATGCCCTGCTCCTGCCGCTGGAAACCTACACGTTAGCTCGCCCGGGTCTGTCTTTCTTTCCTTCCTTCCTTCCTTCCTCCCGCCTCCCTCCACGTCCCCAGTCCCCAAGCACTTTTAAGATTTATTATAAAAAATCATTCTTCCGTCGTTCCAATACAGGCAAGCTGAGGAACGTTATTCTCCGCTGCAAATGCACGTGATACAAAGGTTTCTCTGCTCCGGCTCTTCCCCCGCCCCGCCCGGCCACAGACCCACAACCATTGTTTGGGATACTTGTTTAAAAAACAAAAACAAAAAAAAAACCCAAATCAGTTCTTTTTGTCCGGGGCCTCTTTTCTCTCAACGGCAGTCCATGCTACGTTGTAGAACCTGGAGGGGACCGTGCAGAGAGTATTAATGGAAACTTTTACAAAATTGAGCGTTCGCAAGCAAGTTTTCTAGCGAGGATGCCAACCGCTCTCCCAGTTCTCGCAAGCATGGTCTTCCTCCGCAAACGCTGCTACAGGCCTCACATTATCCCCCCTTCCCGGCCTCCCTCCCCACACGAAAACCGGAGGGATCCGTGTCTCGCCCTCCCCCACCCGCGGGATTGAGGCTAAATTCATTTTCTTTCCAAAGCTCCGCGAGGCTTTTCAGTTCATGCACGCTTAGGCGCTCCTGGTTACGTGTGTGGCTACTATCACATAAACAATGCAGTTCAATTCATATGGCTAAGTTGTATCAAGTTAAAAATACACTGGGATCAACATTTAAAAAAGAAGAAGAAGAACCCACTCTAAGAGGAAATTTTAACTTTACCTTAAATGGAACAATGTGTTCACAATATTCCAAGGAAATATATTTTAGGGGAAGAAAAGAGAGAAGTCTTCTGTAAAGGTGCTTTATTATCTCACGTGTGTTTGACTCTCAAAAATAGAAGTCCTTTTAATTCGGACTCAGTCTCGATGCAGAAAATACTCCACCAATTTAAAAGAAATTAACACCGGATGAGGGGTTCTGCTTTGTTTTGGATTATCCACAATAAGTCACTTGCCATAAAAGTTCTTCCCACCTGAACGAAACAAAATTAAAAGCCAGCCAAAAAAAAAAAAAAATCACAATTGGGTTTGAAAAACGAAAATCCAGTAACTTCCCCTCGTGTCTCTCGTTATAAACACATGCCCGCTAATAATCTATTTAAAAAAAAAAAAAATCTCGGTCGCTGTAACGCTCCCCACCCCCCCCTTTTTTTTTTTTTTTTTAAACAACAAGAAAAGTCTTAAACTTGCTCCAACTTTAGAAATCTCTCCTCTTTCTCATCATCACTATGGACTCCCCCACGGAGAAATTGATAGTAATACGTTTCCCTGAAAGATACATTGTAATCCATTCACATCCGGGCAATGCAGGGGTGCTTATAAAGGGGGGGGATAAGCCGCAGCTCCCGCCGCTGCACGTTGCTCGCTCCTGCTGCGTCGTCTATTACAGAAAATGACGAGCAGAGGAGGGAGGGCGTGCAGGGAGCATAGAGAGGTAAACAGCCAGGCTAGAAAGTCAGCTAAGATGGAGGAAACACAACTCTGGAAGGGGAATGTAACCAAACGTGAAGGAGGAGCAGAAGTCTGAGAGGTCCCTTTCCTCGCGCGCACGCTCAGAGATGCCCGCCAGCTGCAGCTCGTTGAGCCCTTGCCGTCGCGTAATTGCGTGCCCTGGCAGACCAGCAAAGAGGGATGGAGGCAGTTTTCTGCAGCTGGGCTTAACCTTTCTGGGGTTTGGTGGTCCTTGCTTGGCTTGAGCTAGGTTGGCTTTCATGCTGGATGCTCTCCCGAGGGGGGTTGGCCTTCAGAGCCGGCCAGCTGAAGCCAGAGTGGCAGGAGGACCCTCTTGATGCTGCGCACTGCTCGCGGGGATACTGCGAGGAGGGTCAGGCTGAGAGGCATGAATGATAAAAAGGCACTCATTGAGCATGATGCCTGATTGGATGTTTGACCCAGGACTTCAAACAGGTGGCAGTGACTGCAGCTAAATGACCACGGCTGATCTTAAAGGAAAGAAACATAAGCAGGATCAACAAATGGATCATAGAACAAATCAAGCCAGAGTTCTCACTCCAGGCGTAAATGATTAGGCTCAGTTTATCCTACTTCAGAAGCATTAGGCAAAGACTCAGCTCTTTAGAGAAGGTGCTGATGCTGTGAAGGGAAAGAGAAGAAGAAGACGACCAGCAGCAAGGGGGATGGACTCAGTTACGGTGGCAATGGGTGCACTATTAGAAGACCTGAACAACCAGGTTAGGGACAGATTGTCATGGAGAATATCTATGTGGTTGCTAAGAGTCAACATGGACTTGATGGCACGTAGTCATCAAGCAGGATTGTATTTTGTTAGTACTTGAACTCCCAGAAGATCTAAGGCCAAAGGCTAGACTAGGAAATAGAAGAACAGCAACCCCACTCCTTATTTTTGCAAGAAAAACTAACTGGATGCATCCACGCAGCCACCAGGAGTTGAGTTTCAATCATGGCAGGCTTTACCATCAATGCTCTAACTCTCAGTCTTCAGTGTGGCATCAAGGGCAGCAGTGTGACAACTCATGATTTGTTCTTGGTTGCCACCAAGCTTCATGCCTTCTTAATGTTATATAAAAATAAGAATGGTCTAGCATGTTGTAGAATGTCAGTTTCAAGCACAACCTATACTGTATTTTCAATAATGCTGAGATGCTGCATAGATTCCATGGACATTTTTAGAAAATGAAGTGGTGGGTGGGTGCACTTGAATGTTTTGTTTGCCTTCTCTATGTGAGTGTTTTGTCGGATCCCCCATGATGGCCATTTTGTGTAATATCATCTCAAAAGTTTAAATGTACCTCTTGGTCCAAAAAGGTTGGATAATTCTGTTCTTAAAACTTCTCTAGATTTCAGCAGGGGAAAAGAAGACAATGCTAGAATTCTGAGTACATAGTCCTTTCTGGATTTCCCATGTGTGCCAATAAGTGCCTTGCAAAAAAGGGCTGAAGCAGGGAACTATCTAGAAAAAAATGGAGAAAGAGGAATCTGAGGAAGGAAAATAGGGAATTGGTAAGGATTCTTAGAAAATAACTGGGGTCAAGCAGAACCCTGCAAAAATATTCTCAATTCCACTATATCCATTTCCTTGTAATGCAAACAAAGCATTCAACTGCACCCACCCACCAGTTTATTTTCTAAAGATGTATAGATAATTATTGTTCTTTACCAGTTAGGATTTCTGGAAGTTGTAAAGTCCAACACATTTGGAGGCCATAAATTGTTGTTGGCATGCTTTGTTTGCATCCTTGTGTCAGTTTGCACTTAGAAAACATATCCTGGCTACCATCCAGGTAGAATGTTTTTGCCTCCAATAATATCTTTTGGCCAGGATCATCTTAAAAGAACTTTGTGTGTAAGAAGGCAGATGTGCCTCTTCTAAAGGGGTATTTACTGCCCAGTTTTTATAATTTTTGGCTTTCTTTTGATGAAATTATTGTTGGTGAATTCTGAAATCCTGATAAACAATTATCTAGGAAACAAATATTTCATTGGCTGGATTCTCATGTCTATGGAACTAACTGACCAAATCTTAGTTGCATTGAGCAAACCTTGCTTATATAGTCAGCTTATGCCTCTGAACCCATAAAACTTGCTTTCAGTAAACTATGGTTAAAATAAGCACAAGAATGTGTGCAGTATGAACACAGCCATAGTGAGAAATTTAGCTTATCTCTTGTCTTCCGTGTTTTGGCATCTCCCTCAGATCATAACACCCAGATGGTCATCTCTCCATAATTTTTCAACTAGTAATATGCAGTTCTTGTGGTCCCAAAGTCCTAAATATGTGTTTCCCCACAATCTCTTTCCTGCGTCTTCCTTTTATTTATTATAGATTCAGCAGAAATCATGAATATTTCATCTTCAGACTCCCCAAATACCTTTTATTTTAATCAGATGGGGATAGTTTTGAGGTTAACATTGGAGGAAAGTGACTTAAAGAATATATTAGATATGTAAGCATTATTATTACTCTTAATGATGTGTAAAATGAAATAAGACGAAGGAATCATCTTGAATACTCTCTTTAAATTACACACTTTTCTGTTCCACCTTAGGCTTTCTAGCCAAACTGAATCCCTGTATAATTTCAGTGCTGGGCATAAAATTATGTTATCTACCTATCTATCTATCTGAGAAAGTCTCCTCAGCAAGGATAAAATAGTCATAGCACCAGGCCATTTTACTGGGGGGAAATTTAAGAAATAGAATTCTTTCTTTATCCTGAGGAAAATTATGAAATAAAATTGTTTATTGTTGTGAGGAAAAATTAAGAAACATAACTGTTGTTCTTAGTTATTATGAGGCAGATTGGTGTACTTAGGAGTACTTAGTCCCTACTCCTGAGTTACTTTTCACTGAATATATATTTTTTATAATAATTACATTTATATGCTTCCTCTCTCTTAAGATAGGACATTCAAGGGGGCTTACGAAGACACTAAATCATAATAAACACAGAGGAAAGGATGTATAAATATAACTACATAAAAGCATAAATAACATTCATTCAATTTCTGCCTCGCACTTTCAACATTCAAAAGCGTAGTTAACCAAACAGACAAAACAATGCAACTTTAATTAAAAAGTTGGATGTATACACAGTAGATAAATAAGTAAATCAAACCCCACCCCATCCCCAATATTTAAGCCCTAA